ACATCATTACTCACACTCTCACTCTCCTTTTCTTTTTCACTTTTATTTTTACCTCCTCTCCTTCTTGACTCAGGCGTTTCCACATTCATAACAGACCTAACCAGAACAAACCTATTATCCAAATTTTCAACCAGAACAGAACGTACCTCAGAAGGGGGATTTTGAACCTTCTCAGAATTAGAAGACCCACTTCCTTCCCCCTCACTCACAGATTTGAAGGAATCATCTGAGTTTTCAGAATCTTGGGCTTGTCTGGCCTTCAATTTTGCGTTCAGTTTCTTTGAAATCGCACCTGTAGCCACATTTTTGCGAGCAAACATCTCCACTCGCCTTCTTTTAGGCTGGGGGGTTGTGCTGGGTTGAGGAGGTGTGGAGGAATCAGAAGGGGTAGGTTGTGGAGGAGTTCCTGGGTTATCTTGGGGGTTGGTCATCTTCGTTAATTTGGAAGTGAAAATTTTGAATTGTGTTTTGGAAGAGAGAAGAGTAGATAGCAGAAGAAATTCGACGGTTTTAGAGAATTATGAGAGTGGTAGTGATGGGGATGATGGTTTTTAAAGAGAGGGGGTTAATTAATGACTAACGACAGCTTTTTGTAGTCAACTAGAAGTCCAATCAACCTAAAATTTCAGGTTGAATGAGCGGTTAAGCTTCTTCTAGGCATTTTATGCGGTGAGGATTCTAATAGAGACGGAACTGGTTCAAACTTAAAAGTATAGGTTTTTCTGACATTTTTGAACATAGGTAGGACTCTGCTCATGAATTAACTATTAATATTTATAATTATGCAGAGTGTAGAAAACATACCTCGCTATTCAGATGAACCAATACTGATCAACCAGGTTCTTCACTAAGAATCCTCTTGATCATGCCTCAATTTACCAAAGTAGAGAAAATTTTGTTAGAGATCACTGAGTCATATAAACACATGTCACAGGAGTATACTATTTACAGTATTATACTGAGCAAAGATTAATCTAGATATTTACACAAGTTCTAGATTTTCTAACCAAAA